ATCTTTTCTGGCTGGTTGACATGGACAGACCTGGCTGGTATTAAGCTCTGGATCTAACGTGTGTAGTTTTACGGTCAGGATGAGCGGCACGTATCGTAATGAAATCGACCGACAGTAAAACATGAGGATATTGAAATGAACAGACATTGCAATGCGATACTGCAGAGGAATCTATAAACGCGAGAGCTCTACGTTTCCAGAACAACGACACGTTTGCAGAATTTAACAACGTCGATAGCGATCATCCACAGCAAGTTATGTTATGCACGTGATTTATTATACAAGTTGGCAGACAGCATCCACGGGTTGTTCGCTGCTGCAGCAAGCTTAAAATGCTAACTGAATCTCCGTTAATATGTACGTGGTCATGACAGTGATATGCGGGTCGGATAACAAAGCCTTTACAGGATGCCTTATCTTCTTTGGTTCTTTCGGTAAAGTCACGTAGAATGAGAATAAAATAATAAATTGATCAAATAAAATAACACAATAATATTCTCACGACGTTTCGGCCACAACACAAAGTTCATACAAGTTAAGATAAAAACAACAAAAATGCAAATACAAATGTAAAAAAACTCGCTTATAATATAATACATAGGGAAGGAAACATGAATAAAACAGTACAATGATCACAAGAGGCGAAAATAAAATAAAAAGGTTAAATTATACAAATTGGCCTCAAGCCTTGAATGAAATGTAGCCACTGTGGGCATAGAACCTCTGATGCGATGGGGCACAGAGTTCCATAGTCGTGCAGTCCGACGCAGAGCCTCCTCCTGTCCTCTCCTGCTGATCCTGACCCTCGGGATGCAGACCTAGGGGTCACCCACTGCCAGCTGACCTCCGTGCCCGCTGAGGCAGGCCGATAGGGAGACAAGAGCTCTGAAAAAGTAATTAGGCGCCATTCCATTTAGTGCTTTAAAATTGAGCAACGGGAGTTTAAGAAAATCAAGTCTGTATTTCGAGGGAAGCCAGTGCAGAGATACCAGCACAGGAGTCGTCTTGATATGTTGAGAACCCCTCGTGGCTGAATTCTGCACGAACTGCGGCCGTGGTAAGGCACGACCTTGTAAGCGCAGCAAAACGGAGCGTCACAGTCGTCCGGTCGAGGTGAAATGAAGGCGTGGATGCTACTCTCTCGGCATCGGTGAATGACAGAATTGATCTCGGTAGTTCTTTGTCGTTGAGCGTCACGTCGACATGCAGCAGAAGTCTTGTTACAGCAAGTTCCCGAGTTGCGGAAGACCCGACTTACGGAAATCCGACTTTACGGAACGTTCCCATAAAACCATGTTAAAACAATTTTTTTTCACATGCGGAAATGTTTGCGTTAGTTACATAAGCGCAAATAGTGCAGCGTGGTGAGGTTGCAGATGAAATACCGCGGATGCGAGGCATAAGCCGGCCCTTCCTTACGCTTCGCTCCCTCGCCCAAACAAAAACCCTACATTATGGATGATATCAATCGCTAAAGCCGACGTGCTAAACAAAACGTCGCTTTGGCCCAGCCCGAGCTGCACTCGGATTGAGGTAAATGGATTTTTTTCGTCGCGTTACATTATTTTCCTTTCGTAGAAATACGTAATTGTTCGTTTTATATGCTCGAACTATTTTTCCCCCCATGTTTCTATTGCTAGTTTATTTAACACAATTACACTTCGATTGCTTATGGTCTCAGCCAACAGCGATCGGACAAGTCTAGGCCGAAGCCTAAAGCACGGTAAACGAACATTCGGAGGTGACAGCTTTCTGTTAACAGCAAAAATATTTCAATGTTTCGTGGCATTCATAAACAATTGTATGCGGTATATGTCCCATTAGTTCAATTATGGGTAGTGTTACGGTAGATATTCGATGAAATTAAAGACTCATAGGGAGTGCAGAGCGTATGTACAGCGATACGATAGAGGTAGCGATAGAATATGGACGACAACGCGATGCGGTATTGACTGAGAGAAAAAGAACGAGAAATCGGGCAGGGGAGGCACAACTATTAGCGGCTATGGGATTGTTATCGTTGAATTTGGGGGGAAATTGTTCAGTTTCCGACATACGGAAAATTCGGTTACGACTGCCTGTATTTTAATACAGCCCATGAGCAGCCAGTGATGTAGCTACCGACCGAGTGTGCAGGCGGTGTGCAACTGGGTCCCATTTGTCTCCGAGGGACTCAGGTGATGGACTACGACGGAAGGGGGGCAAATTGGACAGGGGGGGGCCCCGTTTTATTTAGCCAGGGCCCATGCCAACAAATAATACTCCCAATAGTTTTAGATAATGGCTACGAGATGCCCACAGCATTTTGGACACCTTGGGCAAAAAAGTAGTGGCAAGGCAATATCCCTGATTTACGTCTCCCCCCTTTTACGTCGTTATAGCAAACACACCGTCGCTTCCTTATGAACACCGCTACCTGACTTGTGTCGCCTCAACCCACACCCACACTTAAGTCGCCGGCAGCATTGTCTGTCCCCTCTCTCGAATCCTTCGCTTCAGCACTCCGCCTCCACCTACCCTGCACACGAAAAATACTTTGCGTCGCGCATAAATAAATGTACTTTTAGAGTCCAGCATATTATTTATGTACAGTATTTTGGTGATTTTGTTTGATAGTGTACTGTTTCATATTGTGCCCTGTATAATTTGTGTTTAAGTTTACCGCTATACACTAGTGTTGCGTGCAGTATTTTTTTTTAGGATGAAGATGCGCGCGTTAACACAGCTTCAGCATGCCCCACCGTTGTCTCCGTTTAGCTCTCGTGGAAACAAAATCGCTTTGATGTCGATTCGATATTCGACGTAAACCGGAGTATTGCCGTATTTTTGAGTCGGCATCTTGTGACGTACATGCCTATTATGCCGACGACCGGCCAACCTTTAAATACATAGAAATACAATAATAGCGCATGGACCGGGGGTGGGGGGTGCTCGCGACCAAGTCAGCAGCCGGTATTTTGAGGGTGATTGTAGTGCAGTGGTGTACTGGCTTGGGTGAAATTCAGGATGCTGTCTGTAATCGAACCAATAACCACTGAGAACCAAATGGCGAACAGGACAGCCCCCCAACTTACACACAGTGTGGCGGCACCCCTGGTGACGACCACGCTAAAGGCTACTGGGCTAGGAGGTTGTACATTTTGGCCAGCCAGGGTGAGGCCACTGAATATAGCTGGGGAACGGCAGAGAGGAGACGTAGCGATCTCCCGCGGAAGTGGACGTCTGGAGAGACACGATCACGTCGGGAGAGTCCAGGGGTTAAAACGCCACCATCGCTGCTGGGACCGAGGACGGGCGTGGCCTTCAAACGCGATTTCCCCCAGAGCCCTCCACCACTAGCAGAGACGATGCTGAGCCCTAAGGGGTTTGTGATGGCGCCCAAGAATGGCCTTGCAGGAAACCCAACCACCCCGCCGTCATTGAAACCATTACGCTGGAAAAGAAACGCAAATGACCGAGGGAGGATCCGTGACGGACCAGTAAAAAAGAAAAACACTTTATCGACATCTCGCCGCAAATTTCCCGGTAACGGTGGTGGAACGAAGCCCTGTAAATGCATCACGTGAATACAATATTAATTCGGACTCCGGCACGCAATGGTCGGCGCACTCGACTTGCGATCCAGAGGTCGCCAGTTCGATTCCCTGGCGCAGCAGCTGGACTGGGTTTCATAATTCCGCCCCCCTCCGCACCCTTCTGGTGGATGCCCTTTCGCCATCAGTGGCGTGAGCAAGACATTGCAGGGCTGCACTTTTATGTACGCATCTCACCAGCGCAAGGTAACCATTAATGATGGGGAGTTGGAGCCTCGTAAATTCAATTACAGGTTTCCCTCGCTCTGCGCGGGTTCATTTTGTGCTATTTTGTGCCGTATATGCGGCTAGCCTATTAATGCCCAACATTCGCTATATTATGCGGTTTGAATTCACTCACATGCAACCCACACGGTTTACCCTGTATTCTTGTACAGGGAAATTGAGTTTTCAGGTCCATATGGCATACACCGTTTCAATATGGGCAAAAATATATATATTTGTGTTTTTCCATTGTGATGGGACTTTGTAGGATGAACGTTGAGATGTATAAGGGCACGGGGTGACCAATAAGGTCTGAATTGGTCTGTAATAAGGTAGGCACTGATAATGCGTTGACAGATATGCACATGCGGCTATGCTGTCGGACGTGGGGCGACATTGTGTGCGTGTACTGCGTGCACTACGCGGCATCAGCTGTCTCGTGCCGTTCCGCTTTGTGAGCCATTTTCTTGGAACGCATCTACTCCTATTACTACCGCATAAAGCGAGTGTGATGCTCAAACCGTTCTGTTTCTTAAACGTTTGGGCAGTGCCCAGGCCTCCTCCCGCTCACTCATCGCTCGTTCCCTTGCAATAGACTCTACCATTCCCCCGTCAGTCCCCCCCCCCCTTAGCGAATCTTACTCTCCGACTAACAGCAAACCCCACATCTGGCAACAGTAAAAAAAAATCGTCGTTGAACCGTGCGGCATCCTGGAACCATCCCCAAACACCACGTTAGAACATCCACGTCATCCCGGCGTTCGCGGAGCGAGCCCTGCACAACTCCGGAGCGGCTCCCCTATTTACATTCCTCTGCCGAGCCAGACGATTACTCGTCGTCTGCCAATTGACACCACCTCCACACCACCTCCACACCCCCCCCCCCCCTCGCGACTCGCTGGACGCTGCTACCGTGGTTAGCACACTGGATCTCCCAGCGCGACAGATGAAACAATGGTGCGAGTTTCTTAAATCCACCACCGCCATCCTGAACCTCCCCCCCACGCCTCTGTCCACCTAGCGGCGTAAAATAGGTCCGCCGCCATCAGTCGATCGGCAGGTCCGCGTGCGGTGGGGTTAAAGCGCGGGAAACTCCCGCTTCCTCCAAGAGACTTCCTTGCTGAGCGCGGAAGAGGAGGCCAAAAACACCCCGTGCAGAGGGGAGGACGGGCCCTCCAGAGCCCCGTCTAGCGGGGGGGGGGGGGGGGGGGAGGCCCTTTCGCCAGCAGTGGCGCGAGCAGGCGATCGCAGGGCCCGCGCCGCCTTTGCCTTTCACATTTCAACCCGAGCTCCGCTTGGGCCGGCGTCACTTGAACTGCAGCTGGTCGATGGTGATGGTGCCTCCGTCGTGGGGCAGCGCGGCCCCTGCCGCCGCCCCCCCCTCCTCGTCCCGTCGCTTGAACCAGAGGCACTCGACGAAGCAGACGCCGCAGCCCGCCGCGATGCCCATCATGAGGAAGTAGAAGACGCCCTTGAAGTCCTTCATCTCGATCTGGTGCTCGTTGCTGAGGCCCACGCACTCCTGGCCCTCCTGCGCGAACCACTGCCGCTCCAACTCCGCCAGCTGGCCCGAGTCCTCCAGTTCCGTGACGGCGCGGGACACCTCGGCGGCGAGCCGCGAGCCCGGCGGGAACGGCAGCGCGAGGCGGTGGCGGAAGAAGCGCCGGTCCGAGATGATGAGGTCGCAGTGGTCTTTCTTGGCCGTGAAGACGGCCGAGGCCTCCCCGATGAAGATGTAGCCCGCCTTCTCGGCCTGCTCGAGGCCCTTCTTGGGCGACGCCACCATGGTCCTGTTGTCGCGGATGTGGCGCCACACAGTCATGTAGGGGTCCCTCGCCGAGCTGTTGAGGAATCCCACGATGCGGTAGCCGCTGTAGGTGCCGTAGCGAGCGTCCATCTGCCTCGTGAGGTCCTTGAGCGAGCGGATGCTTGTCTGCCCCTCGGCCGTCAGGAACGCGGCGAGGTTGGCGGTGTAGGTGGAGCACACGACCAGCACGAAGCACCACCACGTGTACACGATGATCTTGCCGGCCATGGAGAGCGGCAGCGGGTCGCTGCCCTGCTTCACCATCGCCGAGAAGACGAACCAGAAGCTGTTGACCAGGTTGAAGCTCTGGCCCTGCTCGCGGCTCACGAGCTTGCGCTTGGCCAGGTGGTACCACTCGTCGGGGTGCAGCAGTGACAGCACGAAGAGCACCACGCTGATGCCTGCGCATGCCGACAGCATGGAGATCCACAGCAGCGTGTTGAGCGGCTCCAGGAACTGGAAGATGCGCGGCTCGTTCACCTCCTTGCCCTTCATGATGATGTGGTAGCCGTTCTCGAGGATGGGCGGCGACAGTGCCAGCCGCTCGTCCTCCGGCTGGTTCGTTATCGGGTAACCGAACAGGGCAAAGTCCACCTGCACGCGTGCACGGGCAGTCGGGCGACCGTCAACATCGTCATCGTCAACATCGTCATCGTCGTCAACATCGTCGTGATTGTCGTCGTCGTCGGCCATGATCAATCCACTGCGAGGGTGAGGGCCTCCGCAATTCGTTGCCATCTCTCCTGGTCCCGCGGCGGCGTAACAATTCATCGAGCACCTGCATGCCAGCTGATTTCAGCACTCCCTCTCTGCGGTGCACTCCGTTGGCTGCCACTCTGTCGACAGTCTCAACCATTAGCCATCATCCCTTCCTCCTAAGCGACATATCCGGTCCAAGTCTGCTTACTTTTCTACACAGTCACTACGTCTTTCTTTAGCCTGTTCATATCCTCTAAACCAGGGGTTCCCAACCTCCGGGCCGCGGACTGCTACCGGTCCGTGGCCTGTTAGGAACCGGGCCGCACAGCAGGAGGTGAGAGCGGTGAGTCCGCACGTGGCCCGCCAATTATTTTATTATTTGCCACTTCCGTCCGTGCCTTTTTCCCGCACTGCGCACTTGTCTCACAGTTTTGGTAAACCCACAAGCTAACCCTAGTAGCCAGAATGAGTAAAAAACAAACGTCTCTGGAGAGCTTTTTTGAAAAGGGGGAAAGACCCAATGATGAACCCCCCCCCCGGCCCGTGAAAAAATTGTCTTCCACGAAACCGGTCCCTGCTGCCAAAAAGGTTGGGGACCGCTGCCCTAAACCACGCGTTCTTCTAGTCAATGTAATTCCAAGCGTACAATTCGCTTGCAAGTGGTTCAGTTCTAGGTGTAGTCATTTTTCAACTCGGTATTTTGCATCAACAGTTGACAAATGTTGGCTTCTGTTGGGTTTTCACGTGGGTTCTGTGTTGGTGTTCCGTGAGTTCGTGTGGGTTCTAGGTAGGTTTTACGTGAGCTCAATGTGTTTTTTTTACTTGGGTTCTGTGTGGGGTTTCACACAGGTAGTAGCGCACGTGAACTCAGAAGGGCAAAAACGTTTTCCCAGGCAGTTTGGCAGCCCGAGCGTCACCTCGCGCAGCAGGAGCCTGCGTCGGATGTCTGCAATGAGCGCCACGTCGCTCAGCTGCCTGCGGTCGTACGGAATGAGCTGGTACTCAAACTCCAGCTTCTCGGCGATGAGTTCCAGTAGGTCCACCAGGAACCCGGACGCCTTGGAGACGCTGGCCTGCCCATAGGACACGAAGCCTGCAACCTGCATGTGTGTGTGGATGTGTGTGTGTGCGTGCGTGTTCGTGGGGAGTGATCGTGCAATGGTTAGCGCACTGTGGCGTGAACCCGGCACCCAGAGTTCAATTCCCACTCACGGTCAGAAATATCTGAACCCAGTCCATGGCGTCACCTTGGTCAACTCAGCCTCAAATGAGTACCTGGTGCACTGTGTAAACGTCAGCACTGGAGAGACAAAGGTGGCCGGGCGTGGCGTTGGCCACCCATCCCCTCGTGTGTCATTAAAACCTTCATAGGTATTGCTTGCTCATAGTACTTGCCCCACTAATGTGTTAAGGCTACATGGGGGATCTTTGTCTTGTATGGCACAGAGCAGCAGTGACATTGTGGTCGTGGACTGTGCTACAAATATGGAAATTTAAGTTTGATTCCCAGCCACGGGTAACAGCAAATATCTGAACCGGTCCTGGGCCTCCACTAGGTCGATTTGGCCTTAAGTTAGTACCGGGTGCGGTGAGTGAACACATCAGTGCATGTCTATGCACAGCTCCTTTTGTTACTCCACTGCTGGATGAGGGTCTCCCCACACTGTGCAGGTCGTGGGGGTTGTTAGACCATACCCAGCACACTGGTCAGTGTGGGTTGGTGAATGCGGGAAGCATGGCCCTGGGATCATAGAGGTACAGTGCAGCAATGTTATTTTTTCATTCTGCACTGCCCTCTGCTGCCCCGCCATGTATGCCCCGCAAAGTTTATGAAAACCTGCTTACGCGTAGTGGTCCACTATCAAAGCGCGATGCCGACTCGACCTCGCAGAGGTTCACGGTTCGAATCGAGCGGCCGCCCTGATCATCGCTGCGGGAGCAGTAACCGTGACAACGCTGCGTGCCGTCTGCTTCACATCGAGCGTTAAATATCCCCTGATGTAAGTCGCATGGGTAGGCCATTGTGTGCCGGCGTCGTGGTCCATATTTTCCAAATTCTAACAAAATTGCATCGCAAAAAAACGTCCTCAATTGTGACATCTGTATTCACAGCAAGCATAGCACCCCTACTGGCAGGACTAAATGACCCAGGTTACTTTTGCAAATGAGACTCCTATCCCAGTCTCTCGAATTCTCACTGGGGTTGAACAAAATCCACGTGAACAACCCTGCTTGGCTTCTGATATCTGATGAGACCGATTGCATTCTCGGTGGCCGTGTCACGGGCCCGGGATAACCGAATGCCTCATCCTTAAAGCGTGCCACGGATGATGGACGCGCGCCTATAATTTAACAGTCGTCAGAAGCAGACAGGATGACATTAATCAAAACAACCGGTGTTTCCCATGGAGTGCAATTCAACTGGCATTCGGAGTGCACGATTAATTTTGTCGGATTATATGTGCGCCAGTCTGATCGGTGAGCGAGTACGTGACACTCCTTTAAAAAGATACCTCTCCGGCTCCCGCGTTCGTGACAGCCGTAAGCTCACGTAAACCAGAATCCAGTTAATTGCCAGTGCAGAGAGTGAGGGGAACGATGTGGGATTTAGGATAATGGACTAATTGAGTGCTTTCTCCATCATTTCGGAGCGAGTAAAGCCACTGCTCTGAACGCTCTCCCTTGAGCCCCCGGTAATCCTTGAGCCCCCGGTAATCCTACCCGATGCAACACTGTCCGATTTCCACAAACAGTGATTGCCCACTACCAGGAAAAAAACCCCACTGTGGCTACTGGTGTCCACTCCAGACCGCCGGGAGTGGTCTCTTATAGCCAAGGTCAGAGAAATGTAGTGAAACAAAGTTACTCGAATATAACTGCCTTTGCCCTTTAAATGGATTCGAACCCAGGAACTAGGCGATGCTGACTTAGCACCCTGACCTCAGAAACTGCCCAACAACCTCCCAATAATTCATAAGCAGAACTCTGCTCCAGGTCTCTAAATAAAGAAAAATGGTGTTTTTGTCCATCAGCCTATTGGCGTTCCGAACCAATGTTATCCATTAAAACCTGTTGAAAGAATTTCTGGGATGGCTTCAGCCTTCTGGGTCTCATCAGAGTCGGCCTTGTGAAAGAAAAAAAACGTTGAGTTTGAGTTTTGTCAGTTCACCAATTCATGAAACCCTTAAATTGCCTTTTCAATCTCTTATAATTAAGGGTTTATAATTAGTTCATTTTTGCGTCAGATCTTTGTGCAGGTATAATTTACATTTTATAAAACTTCCACCACCTGACAGAGCCAACCAAATAAAGTTGTTACGTCATGGGCAAATATGCAAATTCATCTGATTTATCAGCCAACCAGAGTGAGAACGTTGAAAAGCCCAAGCTAACATTTAGACAAATTTACATAACGTATCACTGGAGATTACATCTAGCATCATCAGGTACTGCCGCCGCAATCACTCGCTTGTTTCGCGCGTAGCACAACAACGCTTGTGTTCCCTTGCACTACTCTCCTTCGAGAATTAAATTGTGTGAAAAATACTGTGCCTATTCTTGCTATATAAATATATCTATTCAAGAAGATATCTTCTGTGCCCTAGGCACAGTGCCTATTGGATAATATAGCCCTGGTTGTCCTATGGATAGCATGGGCCCATGTCAAAATTTTACCTCTGATTCAGGGCCTGCCAAAGGAGGTGACCTGCTGGTCCACACTCGCTTGACGAAGAAGTGATTGAAATGTCTGTACTTTTAACATCGTTTTGCCAGTTCCCGTGAAACTTGTGTCGATTATCCAATTTCAGCCACAGTGAAAAAGAAAACCCTTTTCTATCAAGCGGTTGCATGAGGAACGCTTGCATCTCCAAGAGGTCTTTAACCACAAAGTGACTGATGACCCCTGACCTCTGGATCGGGTTACCACCTTCGAAGGTACAAATAACCAGGGCGTATCATGGGAAGGGGAATATCTCAAAATACTGGAATAGTGGAGGACTGGATGTGAAGGCGCTGAGTTGAGTGTCGTGTTATTGCACAACTGACAAGATCTGGAAATTTTCACGGGCCGAGAAGACTTGCAAAATTTCACACGCGCAGCCTCATCAACAAAGAGGACACTCCCTGGGAAAAGCAGGACAGGTGGCAACCATACCTCTGGAGCGAGGATGTAGAGGGTATCTCGTGGGAAGAAAAACTTGGATGATTTAATTTCTGTCCGGGAACCTTTGTCCTCGCTTAGAGACCATGTACCCACCTGCAGGCACACAAACAGACAAAGGTCCCTCATGTAGCCTTCACAGACCGTTGGGGAAAGTGCTGTGTAGCGCCACTCCTGGCCACCTTAGCGTCTCCCTTGTGGTGGCCTTTACACACTGCACCAGGTACTCACTTGAGGCGAGGTCGACCTAGGGAAGGCACAGGACTGATTCGGATAATTGAACCTTATGGAGGTACCCCAGGGTACCATAGTACCCCGGCTCTTGCATAATGTCCGTGATGCAGTCATTTTTAGTCTGTCGATGGTCGGCAATGTGGCAATCAACTCATCTCGATGGACTATTCAAAGGATTTTTGTTATGCTGATGTTTGGCATTTCGATGTCGCGGAGTAGCACCGATTTCGGATTGATTGGTGCCCCAGTCGCGGAGTGAAGTACACCCCTGGAAAAAAGTGTCCGAGAAATAAAATATTTAATTGCATAGGCCATTTTGTAATATTTGGGACCGCGGTGTACCACCATAAGGATCAATTGGCAATAATTATCCAGCCGCGAGCAGGAACTCGAACTCGGGTCGCAGGGTTCATACCGCAGTGCGCTAAACACTTTTGAGAAGTGGTGGCGAGCAGCACCTACGAAGGTCGACAGCGCGCAAGGGGGTGGCGTGGCCAACAGCGGTGGATGGCGCGGTGTTTTCTGGGCCTGGTGCAACGCTCACCTGCTGCAGGCCGTCGTGGTGCATCTCGGACGCGACCAAGGTCCCATTTCTACGAAAGCCTTCCCTGTCAAAGCCGATGAGACCGCTCAAGCCGACGGTGCTCGTCTGCAGCAACGACAGCAGCAGCAGCAGCACAGAGGTGGCCGTCAGGACCCTACAGGCTGCCACCTATGATTAGCATGATGGGCTACGGTACAGTGTGAAAGAAGCTCAACATACGTACATACATAGGTAGTGATTCCATCGCAAACAAAAATACTCACCCGACGTTATGGACACGGCGTGCATGACACGGACAGAGTAAAAACAAGCCCTCTGATTAGTACTTAACGGGCCTCAAAGGGGGGATTGGTTAGAGGCAGGGAATGGAAGGGACTGAAGAAGAAATTCAAAAATGGAAAGAGCGGGAAATGGAGGATGATTGACAGGGAGGACGGTTGGAATCGGTTAGAAAAAGGGGAAGGTGATTGGGGGGTGGGGGCGGGGGGTGGGGGGCGGGGGGTGGGGCGAGGTCGGGGGTGCTCACGTTGAGGATCGCTCCGGCCGAGCAGGCCCCGCCGGCGTGCGCCACTCGCCGCCCGAAGTTGGCGGCGTCGTACTGGAGCGCGCGGAACGTGTTGAGGGCGCTGCAGGGCGTGCCGGCGCCGCACGCGCCCCGGCTCGTCAACAGCTCCAGCAACCAGAAGCGCACGCCCGTCAGGCCGAACACGCCCAGGTGGCTCGGCGGCAGCATCTGAGCCGCGTGCGCGGGAAAGAGAGACGCCGGAGCCGCCAGAGCCGCGCGCGTACCAAAGCGCGAAGATAATTTACGTGCAGCAGAGCGACTCGTTTAACGCGGCGGCCACGTGAAGTGTCGAACGCCCGCTGGCAGGAGGTCACGGGACAGACCCAGCAGGTATCACGGGTCGACTGATTGAGATGACTGGCTGATGCACCACCTGTGCCCCCTACTGTGCCAACCTGCTGTGCTTTAGCCACCCAGCACTCCGCTCGTCGTTGTGAGCGTCGCTCCTCTGCCCTCCGTTGTTGTTGGAGGGCGACTGCCGCCAACTGACCAGTAGCGTCCTTCACGAGCCTCCTCCACAGAGGCCGATCTTGACACCGCTGGTACCAGTCATTGGCAAGTCCACTCAGCTCCACATCCTCCTGTACTGCATCTCCAGCCCATGTCGTGCCCGTTTAGCCCCCTCGATCCGGTCGAACAAAAGCTGCTTGGGCATACGGTGGCTGGGCATGCGGGCTACATGACCCAGCCAACGCAGCCTTGCCTGCTGGAGGAGCTCACCGATGGGACTTTGTCTAGATTTTTCAAGGATTTGTGAGCTCCTTACACAATCCAGCCTGGTTAAACCCAGGATGGATCGTAGGCAGGCCAGCCTAAATGTTTCTAACCGGCGAAGATGTTCCATTAGGGGGGGTCCACGTTTCGCAAGCGTAGAGAAGGGAGGGCATGACCGTGGCCGAGAAGACCTGAAGCTTAGTGCGGAGCGACAGACCAGGTAGCTTCCACACAGCGGTACGCAAGCGATGAAGTAGGAGTTGAAGGAAGAGGAATGGCCAGGGCCGGCAGAAGCAGCAGGCTGCAGCTCACTTACTGATCCAGTTCCAACCCACACCACTCTTTCTAAGAGGCACACACATGCGTGTGCCTGAGCTGAGGCAGAATCTTGTCGATCCCAGATCGGTCTCTTCAGCCATCTTCGCACCCACAGATAATCTAACGTATCGATGTGCGAGGGATAGCCGATAACACGACGTGACAGGAGTGTACGTTATTGCAATGAGTGCCGCGTTCTCGGCGAAACTGATTCCCCCCCCCCCCCCCCCACAAATAAAGTGACGGTAAAGTTTGGCGAGTTACGGTGAACCGTACGCGCAACGCAGTGTGATGGCGGGACAAATAACTCGAGGGCATGCCACGGTACTGTGTCATTCCGCGTACTGTTATTGTACCGCTCAGCCGTGCAGCTCAAGAAAGTAGTTCGTCGTCGACGGCTCGGAAGCCGCGTTGTAACGGTTCTGCGTCCCGCGTTATAACTGCGTGTTATGCGCTATAACGGTGCGTGTTATAACAGTGCGTGTTCCACGTATAACGGTACACACTATAACGGTGTGTGTTATAACGGTATACGCTATAACGGTGCGTGTTTTAACGGTACACGCTACAACGGTGTGTGTTATAACGGTGCATGTTATAACGGTGCGTGTTATAACGGTACATGCTATAACGGTGCGTGTTATAACGGTACACGCTATAATGGTGCGTTATAACAGTGCGCATTCCGTGTTATAACGGTACACGCTATAATGGTGCGTGTTATAACGGTACACGCCGCTATAATGGTGCGTGTTATAACGGTGCGTGTTCCGTGTTATAACGGTACACGCTATAATGGTGAGTGTTATAATGGTACATGCTATAATGGTGCGTGTTATAATGGTACACGCTATAATGGTGCGTGTTATAACGGTACGCGCTATAACGGTGCGTGTTATAACGGTGCGCGTTCCGTGTTATAACGGTACACGCTATAATGGTGAGTGTTATAATGGTACACGCTATAATGGTGCGTGTTATAACGGTACACGCTATAATGGTGCGTGTTCCGTGTTATAACGGTACACGCTATAATGGTGCGCGTTATAATGGTACACGCTATAATGGTGCGTGTTATAACGGTACACGCTATAACGGTGCGTGTTATAATGGTGCGCGTTCCGTGTTATAACGGTACACGCTATAATGGTGTGTGTTATAACGGTGCGCGTTCCGTGTTATAACGGTACACGCTATAATGGTATGTTATAACTGTACGCGCTATAACGGTGCGTGTTATAACAGTGCGAGTTCCGTGTTATAACGGTACACGCTATAACGGTGCGTGTTATAACGGTACACGCTATAACGGTGCGTGTTATAACGGTGGAAGAACCACGTTTATCTCGAAAACGTGTGAACACCACCGCGTTCGTGAGCAGTTGCCGTGTTACGAGGGGGATCGCCCAAAGAGTAACGCCCCACTGGCGACGAAGACATCGCTCTCGCTTCTCGATGGCGTGAAGCCGTTTTGGTCAAAGGGGATTATGTAGAAAAGTAATGGGCATGTAACTGATAAATCTGCCAATTCTATGGGTAAGGTTTCACTTTATACTGGTAGGAACGAAGTTGTAAACTGTGTGTACCAGCCTGCAATAGATTAATGTGTCCGTCCGTCCGTCCCCTTTCAATACTTTAACGAAGTGAAATCTCCTGCTGTTGGGGTGTAAAAATAAAATTGCGCAACATTCCAATGTTCCTACCAGCCCACCCTGCAGGGACCTGTTTTGCAATGAATTTTGGCCGACAAAGAAAACAAAATATCTCCACACCTTCATGCGTATACATATTTGCTTCAAATAAATTGTAGTTTATTTTTGTGACAGTACATGTTTGTTTCGTCTCAAACGTGAGTGGTTATTGATTTCCCATTTGCAGCTTCACTCAAAGCGATTCTATTCTTGCGCATAATGGCAGCAGCATTGCGTCGAGGATCTGAATGCCAATATCGAGGTCTGCTGCTGCTGCTGTTAGCCGCGAAGAGAGGGCTTCAGCAGAGAGAGCCGGTGGAGTTTTGCTCATCCTCCTCCGTTGAAGGAGCGCAGACCTACGTGTGGGGTTACGATGTGAACCACGATGTGAACCACGGTGTGGACCACAGTGTGGACAGAGTCACAATCGTTCACTTGAGCGGTTCTCGAGCGGAAGTTCTCTCGTGGCAAAAAGGTCAATCCGTCACCGTGGAAGAGGTATTTGCGAACAGATGCGGGATGTCATGTAGCAAGGCGCCGAGATCGATTCGCCAATGTTTCTTTTTTCTTGTTAAATCGAGTTTTATCCCAATTGTGCTATGTGCGTGACGTGTTTAGTCGGAGAATCCATTCCGGTCTCTCTCGCGGGGCAGTGTAACCCCTCGGCGTTCGAGAATGCCCCACCGTGGCGTGCTTAGCATTCAACCCCGTCTGAGTTCATGGAGACGAATTGATAGAAGATTGAGATCTCCACTGTGCGCGTGCAACACCATGCATTGCTCAGCGCGTCACATCGGGTGTGTTTCACAATCATCGCGCGCGTGCAGCGTGAAACGAGTTAATTCGTATATGAATAATAATGATGACATTTATAATGCGCCAGATATTGCAGACAAGTCAATAACTAATAATAGGGTTTTTCCCCTTTTTTCTAGCAACAAAACTGAAACCTTTTTACAATGAATCATGATGTCTGCATTCACCACAATACTTGTGGTCAGAATGCAAACAAAAAACACTCTGATAATATAAGTATTGTCTTTGAAACTGATTGGTCCACACCAGAGACAGCTTTCCTGTGTGGACCAATCAGTTTCAAGGACAATGCATACGTTGCCAGAGTGTGTTTTTGGTGCATTTTGACCACAAGTATTGTGGTTAATGCAGACATTATGATTCATTGTAAAAAGGTTTCAGTTTTGTTGCAGGAAAAAAGGGGAAAAACCCTATTATTACATTTTGGTACTGGCAAAGGAGGCCTCATGATGTAAAGTCAATAACTGAGAGGTGTGGAGCCATGCTGAGGGCTGCTCGAAAGACAGAGAGAGAGAGGCCTTGAGATGTTTCATGAAAGTCAGAGTGAATGTGATGTTGCGGATGAGCAAAGGGATAGAGTGAGTACCACACCGAGGGGGCGACGGCAGAGAACCAACGTGAGGCTGTAACAGTAGTGTAGTATATAGTGTAGTGTACAGTAGTGCATAGTGTAGTGTGGAGTCCTGTATAGTGTAGTGTATAGTGTACAGTAGTGCTTCAGTGCAAGGCGAGAGTAGTGAGGTGAAGTGTAGTGGGGAACCAGTGGTGAATGTGGGAGTAAATTGGTAAACGTGGTGGGTCGTGAGGACTGCAGATCTGGAAACCCTGCACTTCAGTGTTGATGTATGCGTGACATTGCTTCCTCTCGCGCAAAGCCACACACCTTGAGAGATATGATCCAGTTGTAAGGACTCGCGATCATCCCAAAGTACAGCGCCTGAACAAAACAAAGGCAAAGACACAGATCCCCTGTATAGCCTTAACAGACTTTTGGGGCAAGTGCTGTTCGCAAGCACCTATGAAGGCCGGCACGGTACACGAGGGGGTGCGTGGCCAGCACCACGCCCGATTACCTTGGTCTCCCCAGTGGTAATGTTTATACACCACGCCA